GCTAGTAATTTTAGAAAGCATTGATCCATATAAAAATAAGATAACAAATATTTTTGGTACAGATAGGTCCAAAATATAGAACAGTATAATAAGTTCTTTTTTTTTTGTAAATACAATAATAAGACAGAATGATTATTTTAAAATATTTTGTCTAAAGCGCAGCCCGCACGCAGCTCACCCCTTGAAGCCGTTCTTGATTATGTCCGCCGCGGGCTGTGTCACAACAATTATTTATAATACGATCGGTTTGAGACAGTGACATATAATATTATAACTATGACGACATGTGATCACAAAATAATTCGGGATAAGATTATTACATCGTTATTTTCAATTCATTTTGTCGACTGTCACAGCACGCGTTAATAACATCGAACCATAATGATTATAATGAGTATAGATGGTTGGACGTATAAGCAGATCGCACTGTTATAATACATAATGTGTATGTATAAAGCGCATTAATCGCCATCAGAGTTTTAATTCGATTTACAAAAATTCTAAACTGCGATAATCGGTCTGCGGACGTTTACTAATACACGGTTTATGTATGTCACGAACGGATTGAAGCTCATAAGACTGTGCGGCTGGATATTACACATAAAATATAACATTATTATATTGTCACCATATACTAAACTCTACTAGATGATGAGCGCATGCGACATTTAAGTATATATAACATTATTATTTTTCCAAACGAATTCTTATTAGCGTGTTTAATAGCACACGTTCACTGCAATAATCCTTAACGACATCTTGCAGTACGATTATCGTATTGTTATAGTGCGAAAATGATTGCAAAAGTGTGAAAACCGCGGTCACATCGAGTTGGCGACTCGATAAAAAAGACCTAAAATTACTATAATATTACGTACCTAAATATCATATTGTATATTGAGATTGACGCCATCGTTGCACAATATATCGTCGGATATATTCACTACTTGAGCCATTCTTGGCTTGATAAAATGAAATAAAACAGATATACGCATGAAGTTCATCGCCGTTAATAATAATAACACAAAAACCTACCTACCACACTCCTTGATAATAATATTTTGTACCATTTTCAATAGATATTTCATGGCTGTTTTGTTTTGATTTGGCATCGATAAGTATACGAAACTTTCAGCCCGGTTCAACATATGTGCTACATTTAATTTGCTTTATCAGATTATACACAGCTTCTGCAACAAAAACTATAGGCGGTTATGGCATTATTATTCTGCGTCTTACTTACACGACATGCATATTGATTACCATAATATAATAATATATATATATATCATATATTATATAGGTAGGTACATCGAAGTAAATAACTCATCTGTATATATATATATATCATATATGTAATATTGTGAATGTTATAATATTAGGTATCCGTGGTTATTTTTAGTATGTTAATAATTTTGTCAGCCCGCTGCCGACGTTATACAAGATATTATCATCCGAAAAATTAAATAAATAATATTATTGAATACCGTTTATTATGAAATCTGCACATGACAGAAAATATCAGCTAATATACTAAATTAAAGGCATATTATCAACGTTTTTTAAAATACAAGGTTTCTTCGAATTAAAATGTATAATTGTCTTAAGTCCTTGTATTTTTATAATCAATAATCGTCGTGTCATTAATAAACGTCATTGCGTGCAGTTATTAAAAATTAATCTACCTATTAAATTTATGTAGGTATGTATACTCTAAACCACGGGATCGCAATTTTTGTTTTCATATTAACGTCTTAATCACCGATCGTATGCGAAAACATTAAGATTCTCATACGAATTATATTGCATAACTATGTATTGCAACAATAATTTCTCTAGAACGCGATAATTGAATAAATTATTGATGATTATTAGAGCTCGCAAAACATATTACTATTAATTTAAGTACTGGAAAACTTGTCGAGTCATCAACTATACAATATATTTCTGAGCGGAGTGATGAATGCATTGATTTTACAATGATATGTGTGTTTTGGATTCTGCGTGCTTAAAAGACAGCCTGCAATATACTCACAACAAATTCGATTGCAATGTACGGCAAAATAGAAAAACAATTTTAAAAAACAAAATTAACGACTTAAAATGTAATAAATGTTTTATTTTTACTCCTATAGTTAATCTTTTTCAAAAATCAGTATTTCGAAGCAAAAAGAATGAATTAAGATAGTTGATAATTTGTATTTTTTAACTTAACCAATAACGAAAAAATTATGATGTGATTGAATTTAAAACAAAATTGAACATTATACGATAAAATACCAAGTGTTGGGTATCACTAACTATTTTCTGTATATGTTTTTTCTTCATTATGTATTAACTATTAAGTGAGTTGTAACTAAAATTTTAAATGATTCAACGTAGCATTGAAATGTATTAATTTAGTATAACGAAAACATAGGGTTCAAAAAATAACATAATATAATTGGTATATACTATATTATTATATTTTATACATGCAATGCCAATTTCAAATTCAATATTTTCACTGTTTTCAGTACCAATTAAATCAGCCTACTTTATCACTATTAGTAAAATAAATTACTTAGTAACAATATAGATATTATAATGTATGTTATAAAATATTTAGCAATATTGGATGTCTTCGCTTGGAATCATTTTTTGTATACAATTATGCAATTTTATTGAGTTCAATTTTAACACATCAATTACAATGACCTAATGTACACTAGTGTACTTGACCAACTTTCTTAAATTGTAATTATGTTAACATAATATGGATAAATAATACCTATTGTATTTTTCCATCAATTAATAATTAGCACCAAATACAGTATATTGTATATTTGATCGGTTGATCGGTTAATTATAGAATTTATTTTGAAATTATATTTAAGTATTTAACTTCCATGATCGCATAGAATAAAATATTTATACATATTGTTATATATGGGGAAAAAAAATTAAAATGTTAAAATTAATATTTTAGCAAGTGTTGTTCTTATACTCTCGTATAACTACATACTGCAATTTTATATCAATTTAAAATTTAATTCGAAATTAATAGCATTTGGGAAACATCAATAAACAGTTAGGTTTGTTCGAAAAAATAATGAAATTAAAAAAAAAAAGAAAAACGCGAATGTCTGTTGTTTTTTTTTTTTAGTTACAATTCACAATAACAACTGGCAAATCATCGAAAAAAATCAATCCCTCTAAAGCGCTATTGTGTATTTAATTTCGAATTCATGTAAACAATAAACATATATATAGCTGTGTGAATCTTTTCGAGCTTCCCTATTGTTCTAAAAAGTGCAAACTAAAAAAAAGGCATACAAATAATACATTATTACTAAACCATGCACAATATCACCTATATACATATATCATAGCAATCTTTTCTTTATTCCATTCAAAATCCAAAATTATGCTGACCAATTCTGAGCTGAAGAGGAAAAGATCAAAATGTTATAATATTTATAAACAACAAAGGCGTTATTCAATGTCGATACGGTTCTTAATTTCACTGCAACTGACTACTATTGGTAAATATATCGCGGATAAATACTTGGACACAAGAACAAATATTTAAAAAAACTTTTTCATATAATTATTATGCGTATAATATGCTATTTAGACTGAATTCTATTGTGATTTTTACCAGCATATTACCTATGCATATAGCACTCCGTCCGTTATATTGATTTTTAATATTAAACATTTTAAGCCGATATACTCGTGAACCAATTGAATTTTGAGGGATTTTAATTTTGTATTTACATGAGTCCGATAAAAGGATAAAAGTAAATAATAAGTTTACAAAATATTTTAAGTGTCGGATTTAAATACAATATTACTTGCTAAAATGCAACTACCTAGGTATGGTATCTATATAATATTATAATGCATATCAGATTAATTTATTTTAATATACAATTTAAATGATATTTTTATCAATAAATTAATTATCAAATAATATAAATTTTAGTTTTAACCAATTTACAGTACATATATTAGTAGTTTACCATAGGTTATAAGTTTATAACCAAATTCAGCCAAGACCCTGGTTATAACTTAACGATAATGCATAATATATTTAACCAAACGAAAAGTGGCTGTGATCCCCGAATTACTTAATTTCAAGTTGTGTATACGATTATATTTTCTTACAACCTACCTATACATACAATTTATTTGAAAGTACACAATTATTATACTCACCTTGACGGCGAATATATTTAAGTATAAAACAGTACTTTTATATACCGCCTATATTTTAATATATCTTGGGCATTTGTCATTTAAGTCTCATATATTATCAATAAAAAATTCATAACAAAACAGAGTCAAACACGTTTTCATCCTACTATATCGTTTCTAATCAACCTCTTTTTTTTTTTGTTTCGTTCTTATGTTTCCCTGCGGTCCTAATCAACCACGTCATATTATGTGGATCGGGTATATACTCATAATATATTATGTGTATAATAAATAGTATGTGTATATTGTGAATATTGTGATATTAATTTTTATGTGTTTATAATTAATTGTTTTTTTTTATAAACATTTTGTGTTATAAAGTCATCGTTCTCACATAGCAGAATTACATTTTGAAAATATTTCAAGATATTATATTTTATTGTAATACATATTTTGTTAATGTAATTTTCTATTTAGGTTCTGCTTCTGTAGTTATCACACGTTATGTACCATAATTTGAAGTTCATACACACATTACACATATATTTATTATACATATTATATACCTATATAACTACCTTATCGTGATGCGATACAAGCTACTTGCATTCTTGAAGCGTGTGCAGGTATACTCCAATGTTTAAATAAATGCATGTACCTATATTATGTAGTTAGTATAAGTATGTGCAAACCGACAAAATATGTTTGGAACGATGGAAAATATGCGCAAGCTATATATATATCGTGTACACAGTACATTGCTACAGCTGCGTAGGCTCACAAGGAAAAATATCGCGAAAAAAATTCCTTTAAACGCTTACCTGCTATTTGATGCATCCACACGATTCGTAGAGTGTGGCACATGATGGATGTATTTAATAATAATATCATAATATATTATATATTGTATTTGTAGAGATGTTCTTCAAGGTCGAAGGAGCCTCCGTAAGTGATATTGCGTCACATGAACGAAATTCGAATATTCGTCGTTTTCCTGTCCATGCGCACATTATGAGTATACCTGCAACAGTGCACAGTCACATTTTTTAATACGATTTAATAATGATAATATAAAATGTGCGACGTAGGTACGCCTAAATATTAATTATTATTATAATTTGTTTACGGGAGTACATAGGTACCTATACTAATACTTACTATAATATATAGCTGACTAGCAGAGTATAGCTCATCAGCCCCTCTGCCTAATAACGCATTGTTTTATATTATTATTATAATGTCATCCCGCCTGTCTCGCAATCTCGTTGATCCGACTTTACCGAGTTGTGAAATCGTAGTCTGACGATGAAGAGTGGAGACGTTATAACGATTTTGAAGGAAATACAACATATTATATTAAATATCCTACATAGGCATATAAATAAGTACCTACCTAACTACTTATTATTATTACTATATATTGTTTTATTGTTATGGCCCGTCTGTTTTGAAATTATAATTACATATTGCATCACAAATAATCATAATGGTAGACCTTGCAAGTTGCATAGATAGGTAGGTACTCAGCAGCGGCGTTTTTAGGTTGTAATTTGCATCCATCACAGTGTGACATTTTTCGCCAGTTACAACCTCCCTCTTTCAATAGATATATAAAATTATAAACAATTGAATTTCTTCTACATATTATGTATCTTTAAAAAAAAAAAAATTATAAAAATTAGTAGCAACTAACGATTTTAAGGTTAAAAATTGCACAAACTATACAATCACGGTGCCTACAAAAAAAACTGATCACGAGGTAGGTATAGTTTACCTACCGAGAACAGTGCGATAAACACTCAAAGATTTGCAAAATTCATTATACTCAGTGAGTATATTTACAGAAATGTTTACTGGAAAACAATAATATGAGTATATATGTACATATATTGTAACGTAAGATTTTAAAAACACAGTTATTGCAATGTAAGATTTTAAAAACACAGTTATTGTAATCGTAAAAATGATTGATAAATCTCGAGGCTACAAAAGACAAAATCGCTTGGTTTTACTTTCTGGAAATTTTCCGTAAATAAACAATATAACAAATAGATTAGGTACATATAATACAACTAATACCAATAATATTATGTAGGTACTCATATAGGTAGTATAAGTCTAACATATACATTTAATATACTCACATATTATTATATATTTTAAAACTTGATATGTTGGCAGTAATCTCCGAGTGTGTTACACGTACACGAATGTTGATTATATGCTTAACATTTTCACCGTAATGGGAATACGACGAATTATTGAATTATTCGTAAATAAATAATTGTGTATGTATCATGTTTCCACGGACAATTGGGACATTTTTACCAACTGTTATCAATGTGAGTATTTGATTTTATATGTCTGTAAAAAATAAAGGCCTAGCTGCCTCAGTTCAATCATCGCAAAATTAAATACATATATTTATTATATTACAGTACGTAGTAAATAGTTTATGTTTACAACGAAAGCACATAAAATATAATTGATTCTATTTTCCTAGAAATTACTTTATATTTATGAATACACTACTTGAGCAGTTAAAATATGATAAAATGTTTCACTGCAAGGGAAAGTTCGATTTCAAAAAACTGACAGTCAATTCTTAAACTTGACTAGTCGTATAATAATATTATGATAATTTTATTTTATTAAAATATTTTAAGAAGGAAAGAAACAAGTTTTGAACTTCAATATTATACATACAAATGCATCATATTTGTAAAATGTATCTACCTACATAATATATGTATACTTCACAATTTTATAATCTACAACATTTTATGAAAACGTATTCATAGCAGGTATAGAACAATATCTGTTAATTGCAAATAATAACTATCGAATAATCATTAAACTTTCTCTGTACTAAAATGTTTGAATTATCATAATATGGCAAATTCATTATGTATGTTTAACAAACAATATATTATACAAATTAACGATGTATAATTTAAAATTATATTTTACTTCTTATGACAAAACATTATCCTACTACCACGTATTAAACATTTATAGCTTTATGCATGCGCATAAATATGTAGGTATTAACTATTAAGTTTATACCTATAATTTAAAATTCAACTTCTAGTGTAGGTATTATGTTTTTAATGTACAGTGATATTCATAAACGTAAAAACTACGTAATTTATATGAAATTGTGTAATGGATCATTTTTGAAAATATATATTGTTCAAATAAATAAGAAATAAATGTCTCGATTAATTTTCATTCAATAAGATTACTGTATCTCGACTATAAATAAAATAATAGCAATTGTAATAATAGCAGAAACGAAAAGACTTCGTTTAAAGCTCATAGGGTTACATTTTTAAACCTATCTGAAGTATAAAATTAAGGATGGCTTTTATCAAGAAGACATTTTTGGAAGAAAGAGAATTATTTTAGAAAAAGATTTTAAAAGAAAAAAATGGTAATTTAAATGATCACATAAAATAGAGAGACTAATTGATGAACTAATGAGTAGATGTCGAAGGTCGCTTTATGTCACAAGTTAAATTCTAATTTTTAATAATAAAAATATATACTATATCAATAAACGTTTGATATAGTGTATATAAGTACCTTTATGGCTACATATGAAATATATACATTTTATTAATTATTATTTAATTTTAATACTATTATATTAACAATGATATTGAAATATTAAGTGTGGGAGTCATATTAATGTGTCTTGTAAATTTGAACCGACCTAAATATATGTTATATTTTACAACCAATAACACTTCAATTTTGGATCAATAATCTAGAAAGTACTCTTATAATGCCAATATCCGGGTATGCATTTACTATTATTCATAGTATATGTACATATACCCGTACATGAGTACATTGTAGTACAATGTGAATGTATATAATATGTGCCCTGTGGTATCTATTAGAGTACACATAAATAATTTAATAGCAAATATTACAGTATTACTGTTTTCAATTTAAAGTTTAAACGTATATATTTATTATAGCACGAATAAAATAAATGATAAAATATTAAAATGTATTTTATCTAAATAATCAATATTATAATATTCTAAAAATTATTATCAAACAATATTAAAAATTAAGAAACTAAAAGTAATGTTTGAAGAAAACTTCAAAATAATACATTGGTTTGTGGGTATAGAATAGAAATAATATTCATTATAAACATTCAAAAATTTCAAATTTGTGCTTAAATCATAATATTGTACATCCCAAATTTCTTTTTTTAATGATTGTGTTATAAATTAAAATTATTCAATTTATAATCATTGCAAAAAGTTTTAAAATTATTTTTCAAAAATTACATTTTATGGATATATGACATATTTACTCGAATATTCGAAATGTAAATGTTTCATAATAAACCAAGTATATAATCATAATATGCATGCACCTATTGGCTATTGGAGGTATACAATGATAATAACCAAATACATATTGTAATCATATATTTTCAATAAAAACAAAAGAATATCATTTATATTCGTTAAAAAAGTTTCACTTAGTTATTATTACTTCAACTGTAAACAAGAAATAATTATCATTATATATTATCAAACAATGATGAAATTTAATTAAATTTTAAAGTAATTTGAATTAAAAACTAAAAAAAAGCCCAAACATTAAATTAATTATTCCTTAGACAAAAGATATTTCACACAATTTTTAAAATGAAATAGAAAGTTTTAAAAAATTGATTTATGTAAAATATGAGCCTGCAGCTTTATTCAATTATCGCGTATTTTGTAACAAACTTATAATTAAAGCAAAACGAATAAGCTTATTTGAAAAGAACTAGGCGTTCTGAAATATATTATATAATCAATAATACAGCTGATCAAATTCAATTGTATGTATTCAAAATAATTGTTTTGTTATTTTTATGTAATTAAAACCTTAAAAGTTATTTTAGAAAGTTTTGAAACATATCACATTAAAGCAAGTTCAAACTCCTATAAATGTATGTAACCATGGTCAATGAATAACGTTCCGATAACATATTATAATATTTTATTAGTATTGTACGGCAGTGAACTTCGACCTTTTTTTTCTTTGGCGAGCCAAATCAGTAAAATTCTGTCTTCGGGCGGGTCACCAATAAAATATAGTAATAGACATTTAAAAAATATGAAATATATATAATAGGACATGTATTTAATATTTTTACATATTTTGTTTCAATCTAAAAATTGGCCTCTAACCACTTTTAAGGCCTTTGCAGTCCACACGTATTTTAACGCAATAATATTTTACTATAAATACACCTACACATTTAATGTATGCGTTGCTATCGCTAATCAATATATGCTATAAATTATCATATGATTTATGATTGAAAGTAAATTTCGTTAATTACTCAAATACACGTAGGTGGGTACACTCGTAACATTATAGCATTATGGGCTGATAGATGGCCTATTTTATCAACACAAATATCGAGGTACATTTTATCATAATACTATATTATTTATGATTACCCTTCAATAAATGTTAGTTTTAGATATTTCTTGTAGTTGTAATTTATACAAGTATGAAGTAATTATCGATTACATTCGGAAAAAACATAATACGCTCGGGCATAGTGGAATCATATATAACACTGACGATGGACGATAGAAAGTTTTTGATAATATTAGAATGATATATCATATGAATGTGCGTGTGTAATATTATATGTATAATAGACATTAGACAAAAATCAAGTTATCCTTAACTAAAATTAGTTGTTTTAAGAGGTTTGAATTGATGACCGACTACTATATGGAGAAAATAAGATATAAAAAAGCATTATTTATGTCTACCTACATATCCTACATACATAAAAAAACAAAAAACATAATATACACACACAGTTGTATCCCTATTATAATATCCAGGATTAATGAAGATAGTTGGGTGAATGTGCAAGTGTTGCATATTGTACGGTCGTACTATAAATACAGCTGTAAATGTAGGCAACGATATCCCGTAAATTTTGACATTTTAAAATAATTATGATTATACCCTTCAGAGGCTTCAACAAACATATTTAGTTTTGATGCTTTGTCGTTATAATTTAAACAATTAATTATCGATTACATTCGGAAGAACTATAATACGCTCTGGTATTAACTGCAGCATTGAGGAATGATGCATAACTGCGCAACATAGAAAGTTTTTGTATTTAAATATTAGAATGATAATATATGTGTGTGTGTGTGTGTGTGTGTGTGCGTGACATAATAGACATTAGATACAAATCGAGTTATTTTTAACTATAAAATCAGTGGTTTTAAGAGGTTTTAAATTGATTAATAGCCTAGCGACGAAGAAAATAAAATATATAATTGCATCATAATATTACATGTCTATTGCCTATACTGTTATCCTATAAGTTAAAAAATCAAAATATAATATACAGCTGCACATATCTGTTACTATAATACTATTATTATAATATCCTAAATTAATGATTTTTTTTTTGGATTAAGGCTTCAACTACAAAGGTCATTAGCCTGGTGCTGTGTGTGGGGGAGGGGGGCGGTTGGTCGCAACACGTTTTCGTGTGTGACAAGGATTTGTTACTAAAAACTCAAGTGGTCACCCATCCGAGAGCTAGCAACGACGGCCGGTACGTACGTTCAGAACGTTGCCGCATATTGAGCATACGACCGCGCCTCACCAGGCCACAAAATTAATGATTATATTATAGTTTTTGTGTGCGTATCGTAATAATATAAATAAAAGGCACGCTTGTTGGTCATACGATAAACCTACAGCTGCAGTATTGTATGCACCGATATCTCGCACCTTTTGTACACAGGAAAACTGAACTCGCTTAAAAAGTGTGTGTAATATGACGTGTGATATTTGAGTCTGGTAAAAATATAAAATTGTGCGGGTATTACAAAAATAATGAACAAAACCTACAAAAAAAATAAAATAAAAAATCGTGTTAACACGCGAATGACGTATATAAACGCGGCGGCGGAGGTCTTAACGTGGTGTGTAAATAATAATAATAACATCCCGAACAGAGTATCAAAGTCCCGCCCAGAGAACCATAATCGCATTTTGTTTGTACAAAAAATAATAACGAGCACTGCGTCACTACTACGAATACAATACGAGTATATACGCGGCATCCATAATATTCGCTCTTGATCGCCCGCACAATGAGCTTAAGACGATTTCCCTCCCAGGAATAACGTTTTATTTTTTTCTTATATTTTATTTTAAATATCTTTTTTTTTCGCTCTCGGGAGCGGGTGCGGGTGAGAAATACCAGTTGCAGAGCGTCTCCCGCCGAAATAGAAAACTCAAACCCGTACCACAGTCCATTCGTGCGTATTATTATTATCATCGTACAAAATCTAACGGTACAAACCAACCGTTATGTACCGTTTCACTTTTACTCTCAATGTCGCAAAATGGCACTTTCTCCGCTCCGGACCTCGGCTCGTGCGAACATTATAAAATTATAATACAGTAAATCTCCCATAATAGTCGCATCAGAATGGACAACAACAAAAAATTCGTATTATAGAGAAATTCTGAACTGGAAAACAGAGCGAAATTAATTTGGCTCTAATTTGGCTTGGTCCACATTAATATTTCGTCGAACAGAAAATTTTGTTAAACGGGAACTCGTTATACAGAAGTTTCACAGTATAATAATATAATACAATGTATACATACTGCCTATAATAACGTCTGTCAAATGTCCGAACAAATGCGGAAAGTTCACCGTCAGCAGAAAAATCGTGACGATATAATTTTTTATCTTAAATTTATACTGACAATGGTCATCCAAACTTAATACTGCAGAATTTTTTTGGGGAGAGGGGAGAACATTTTAACACTATGTAATATAAAATAATTTACAAAAATTTGCAAATAGTTTAACGATACAAGTATTATATTGTATCACGAGAATATAATTTTTATAATTATATTATATCACGTATATGAGCTGACGCAACGACAAAAAACGTACGAGAAGTTATTCCCGAGATCAAAGTTCAATTTTTTTTTTTAAAGAACGATTTTCCCGGGTTTTTTTTTGTTTGTTCAACATCGTCCAGCACTGGCAACTTCGACAGGTGGCCGCAGTGCACACAATATGAATGCGGGCGAGCGTCTCAGACGCGGACGAGAATCTCCGAGGGGGCGGGAGTCAAAAACCAAAAATCAACGGATATCCACATCATAGTAAATCACCGGATCGATAACCACCCGTCCAAAATTTACATATACAGCGCGTGTACTTTGACGCATAGAATATAACAATATATAAACCCGATGCGCGATATTCATCATACCTATATGTCGTTATTTGTGCGTTCGGTATCGCGCGGTTTCGGAAACAACAATTTTGGATGCCCTCGAACCGGACAGCCGAGACCGAGTGAAAGTCACTTTCACACGTCTCCGGGTGTCCCCCGCGCGCGCGCTCGCGGAACCGACTGGCATGGCGATAGCTCAGTAGCCACCGGACAGCGATCATGCCAACAAGCTGCATTGCGCCATCATGCCGTCTCTGAACCGATTGGTAAGTACCTACCTATACCTGAAAGTAAACATATCATAAATTACACTGTGAACATTCTCCGAGATACCGTGGTAATTACGCGCCTAAGATGCCTATATGGCTATATATATGTATATGTATATGTATACAGCCGAGTCTCAATGACTCGAAATTTTTTCTCGCCGCTTAAGATCGTTTTTATGTAAAAAAATGTAACCCGAACAATTCATAAGTGGAATTTATTTTGATTCCTCTTGAGATTTATCATGACTCGACTGTAGGATATTATATACAATATACAGGTATTTTATACTATTTTAGCGTTGTGCAGGACTATGCAGAAGTAGTTTCAATAACCTAAAAACGATCGTACTCCGAATATTTAAGGATTTTTAAGATTGTGGTAGGTCATATAGGTGCTTGCAATCGATTTCTAAAACCCGTATAGGTACTTACATAATTTTGTATAGTGACATTTCTCAAAATCTTCATTCCAATGCTTCTTTCTGCAGACTTGCCGCCATGATTTTCTTTGAAACATCCTTCAGTGCACTCGGCGTAATAAAGATTTACCTTGGTATAATTCTATTATGTTATATAATTTTATATAAGTACGCGAGATGTTCTGAGTCTTTGTGCATGTTTTTGGAGGCCCTGTGTATTTCTTTGTAAAAAATCAAATAAATATATTACTCGTTGTTGTCCGAAACCTATACAACTATGAGTATAGTCGCTAAATCGGCTATCGTAAAACCGCATGGATAAGATACAGTCGATCTATTATTAGCTATGTTTATTGCGATACACAAAATAACATATTGAATCTATATCGTGATCCTCGCGTATTGTCATTGTGGTTAGATGATGCATAAAGATTTTCGCACGCCATGATTTGGAACGGAATGCAATCGAAACTTTTTAATCGGAACCATTGAAACAAATTTCCTCACAATATCCGCAAATAATTTGAAATTACATGATCAAAATTGGAATTGTAGTTGATCGCTTTTAGTATAGGACGTTGTAGTTTCTTTCGTTTCTGGTAGTTCAATAATATATTTCTGTAGTGTTAAGAGTATTATTGCGTACCAGTTTGTGGTTGTTACGTGTCTACAATTTTAACTTAAAAGTAAAAATATGTAAATAAGTTAGTATTTTTATAACCATTTGATACAATAAAAATATATTTTTGCATAATTTTCACACATATATACTGCACACGGTATAAACAACTGAAAGTTTAAATATATTAGAATTCAGAATCATGAGCTCTATTGACAATATATACGTAAGCATATGTAGAAAGTTTCTGAATCCTTCAATACGATTATATATTGTTAGATATTATTAATTCGATTGTATTCCGTCGGTATGTGCCTCTGTCCCAATTAAAGTAGAAGTGTGTACATTTTTTTGCGTCCGGTTAGTTCGAATTCGTCCCGAATCGATAACAACTTTTAGCACTATAATAATAATATAATATGTAATAATATATTTTATTATAACCTGTTGCGTGAAACGGTAATATTATATATAATGATAGCGCGCAAGACTTCTCCTCGAAGCGAGGGGTAGACGCGAGGACGACCGGCAAGTTGCCGCGACCCCCGCGACACGCGTCGGCGACGGAGGATGCAAATTTCACCCCCTTTTTTGTCGTTTTCGTTCCGGGCAAATTTCCAACAGACTCCACTCGAGCTTCACCCGCCGTTATTACTATTATTTTTGTGCCTAAATACCTACAATATGCGTCCATATTTTGTACAATACGGCACGCCATATACGTAAATATATATATAGTTTATATATTATACATAAAATATATAATATTGTGCTATACAACACACGTCACACGGGCGGCGGCTCAGTGAAAGTGATCGGCCGCCGCCGCCGCCGCCGCCGCCGCTGCTATAGAAGCGCTGCCTGTTGTGAGTGTGTGTGTGTATGCGTGTGCGCGTGTGTGTGTCGGACGTCGCGATAGCGCGCGTGTGCATGTTCTGCGCGGCAGCGGCGGCGGCGGGTGACCTACTTTTGTTACGGACCCGCTGCTGCCACCGAGTGAGCGACTTGACGCCGGCCTGTCAAGTCGCCCGATCGTTCGCGGGCGATCCCGCGGAGCGCGCGAAAAGACAATTTCGCAATGATGGTTACGTGAGACGTCTCGCCGCCGCCGCAGCACACGACAGTAAGTCTTTTTTGAGTGTGATTTATAATTCATAATAATATGTATGTACACACAGCACGTTATGTATTCTGTTTAATTTTCGGAAGGGACATTTTTTGGGACTGTTCGAGTATTTTTTTTTTCGCCAAAAGTTTTCGCGCCCGTTTGTAGGTCATCGCGGAGGAGCGGGTCGTCCGTCAAGGTCGTCGTCAGGTCCCTTCGTAAGCAACCGCCGTCGCGCCGCCGCGGGAAAGGGTACATAATAATATGAACTCACTGAAATAAGTAGGTCAAAGAATCGCGCGCGCAGGGCGGATGGTAAATTTGTTCGATCATGTTGAATTATTTTTTTCTTTTATATACTTTTCCGTTTCCGCTCCCCCGATATTCTCGAGCCCGTGTGCTGCCAACTATTAAATGCAATATATATAATGATACTTAGTATATAACCTACCTTACAGCTGATGTACAACCCCGTACTCGGTCCAACTTTGTACAACTTGGTACGACCTATAAGACAGAATCGTATGCTGCTATATTATATATAAGTATACACGGACCGAGTAATAGTTTTCGAAAATCCGACCAGGAAACGCTCGCAAAATAATTGACCGTAATATTATGACTGTGCGAGCGTACGTGTTTTCTATAGTGTAATTCGCGGATTCGTAATGTGTTTTTTATTTTTATTTACCAGTTCTAATACCAACCAGCCACCGGTCAATTGCATACTACGTCGTTATCGAGTGTAATCAAATAGTAGTATATAATATAATATAATGCTTCACGTGCGCTGATTACAGAGTTTATCCATATGTGTATATTTTATGTGTATATATGTATAGATTTTAAGGCGAGCGGTCACTCCAGATTTTTTTCGTGTTAATTAAACAATCGTACAACTGCGTACCTATATGGCTATACACATTTTTATTTATTAATTATTATGTACAATTATTATTATTATTATTATTATTATTATTATCGATTAAAAAATGTAAATAAAAGTATCGGCTGCACCTTATGGTGTAAGGGCCGCGTTCCACTTTTCCTTTCGTAACACGGTTTTCTTGACCTGACCCATAAAAAGAGGTCGCGCGTAGATGTCTTTAATAATATATTATTATATAAGTACGTATTATATCATATGAATATCGATTCTTAGGTGATAATATAATTCATTTCAACAAACACTTTAATTTCTAGTTGTATAAATGCAGTTATATTATACATTATTATTTCATACGAGTATAAAATAGGTTCACGTAAATTAAACCGATACTGCGGGAGCAAGAAGGCGTATAGAATGTATAGAATAATTTAAATTATTATAATATCATCTTTTGAGATTAAACGCAACTTGTCAAATTGCTGTTAACAGTTTCGACGCACGTCTGCATAGCGAATAATATATTATGCCGGCAATTTTTAAATTTGTTTTCAACACGTATTAGAGTGTCTCGTGACGTTCATAATTTTTATACATATAGATATAAGTGTCGTTGAAAATAAATCTTATATTTTTTTTATGTTTTTCATGCCATGATATATATAGTAATTAATAATATACTCATTACGCCTACTCAAAATACATAAACAAAATCGAAAAAGTAATCATTGTAATTTGCACACACTATAATATATTATATTGTATTACATTATAGTATGTGTATTATTGTAACACTTACCAGCAAAATTGTATTATTTAATATGTGTACAGTGTACAGTAGCTTACAGTCATATTATTCACTCGTCATCCACAGAGTAAATAAATTCTAGATTTCCGGATTTTACAGTCTGTTTACATTAATAATTTAATATACATATACCGGGTGGTTATTTTAAACACTGAACAATTCAAATTATTTAAAAAATCATGATTGTTTTTGAAACTTTACTTTTTACATATCTATAGTTAAAAATTATAATAGAATACAATTTTAAAAAAAATAATATTTCTCAATATTTTTTCATATTATCATTTTTTCAGTTTTTATTTTTTTGAATGACAATATACGTTGTAATCTTCATATTTTTTCTGAGAATTTTGATGCATTAAAATTAAATTTTTAACGATAAATAGTATTCAATTAGTTAGAAGTAAAATTTTAGATAAGCAGAGTGGCGGACTAACATTTAGCGGGATACCTCAGTGCTGCTCATAAAAAAAACTACAAATACTTATCAATTATGATTTATGATTAACTTTAAATAATCATTCGAAATTCGATTTTTAGATATGAAATTTCTAAGAAAATATTCTGATAACAATATATGAAAATAAAAACGCGTAGTGTCATTCGAAAAAATAGATAACATAAAAACGATAACGATAAAAAAAAGTTAAAATATATTTTCAAAAAGTTAAATACTTTTTAAAATAATGTATTAGTATTTACTGATAAAATAATTATTAATTATTCGGCTAATGCCTACTGCACTTATTCATGGTAAGAATAATAATAATAATCGTTTTTCCAAAGCTATTATGCTATTATTTTGATGCCATTTCGGTTTCATGAAAATTGTTTGTAAACGTTCTTCATTCAACTGTATTGTGACAATAAACCTATACCCTGCAGGTACTTGCGGTTCACGCATGGTGCAGTAGTGGTTTTATAATAATCGCTAGCAGCTTTCATCGGATTTTCAATAGACAATAATATGGAATCTATACGGTCGTATTTACACAACCGTTAAATAGTGGTCACTATATCTTATGTATGTAGAGATTCTAAAAGCTATATTGCAGTATAATCAAACAATCCACATAATAAACAGACAAATACCTAATATTAGGTAGGTATATAGAAATGGCATAATTTATACAGACTGTTAAAACGTGAAACCGCCATATACGTGTCGATGTACGAACTGGTAGATTTCAAAAAATAAGAATAACAAATCTATACTGAAATAACAATGAATATTCATTTACAAATTATAATTAGTCGCGTATTATTCGATTTCAGAACTGTTTGCTTCTAAAAATTGAATGATTTGTGAATAATAGCATTATTTCGTACTGCGTGTTTTGCAAGTTAACAATCGGTACATGCGGTATATAATATGATAATTATTATTTATTATATTACAATACCGGCATTACCGTAAACGATTTTGAGGCTCTGACGAGAGCGTATCGTCGAGAGTCGAGGGTTGAAGTGGTATACCGCGATTTTGAGTTACACTCCGCGAACACGCAAGCGCCATTGCCTATTGACGGTACGCGACCTGTTGCTAACTTAACGTTTCGTGCTGGAATACATGCACAAGTTGTAAAATATTGTAATGCCATAATAATTATTGACCTCATCGCGAAAACGCTGCGTGACACCAATAGCAGTTTGTCAACCGAGTATAAATATTAATAATCAGGTGCCTACATATGATAATTGTTCGGGCAATTTTCATTTTTTAAGACAGAGTTACTGACGTCACTGTACATAAATAAAAATATTTTACATGTGAAATATCGTATTTGATATAACGAGATCAAAACATGTGTTAAAATATTATATATTATTATTGTAAAAAACGAATGACGTCGTATTCACCTATTGCGATAATGCCATTAGATTGTAGGCAAACACAGGAAATGAAATAATAAATACCTCTACATTTGTATAGTATTCGGTCAGTCTATAAATGTAATATAATATATATATATAAATATATATAACATTCTTCTGTTGTATAAAACAATGCTGCACGACTATGTTCCACGGACTGTACGTCATAATACAAATATAATAATTTATCAATGTTCGGTGTATTGGTGGGGGTCGGTAAGGATGAACGGCTAGGAAAGTGTGTATAATATACCCGTTCAGTTTTTTCCCTCTGAATGACAAATCGTCGTCGGATGCTTAGAACCAGTGAAACCTACACACGAAAACCATACGTGAATAGCTCACCAACATAATATATTGCATACAAATCGATTTTTGAGAACATAATAATAGGTATTTGAAGAAAAATATGTACCTATTCAAAATAAAACCGCAATCGTTTAATATGCCATTATGGAATATGGACGTTGGACACAATTTCATATCGATTTTAAATATTTATTATTTCACATCTATAAATTATTATAATGTTCATCGATACAAATACCTATACGGCTATGCATACTCGTATTATAAATGGACATAATACAATATATTATATACTGCTCGTACTATTGATTTTATTTTAGATTATGAATTTAAGACGGGATTAGGTAATAATATTATCGTAGTCTCAATAGTCTCATAATAATTTGTCAATTCTCAAATCCATAATTAACTTTTTAAATTATAGTAAGTATATTATTACTGTATACCTGGATACATCATTTTGCGTCTCTATTCTACTGTTTTTCCCAAACTGCACTAGTCATTATATTATTGATTGTGCATATAATATAGCTACAGATAAAGCACAATTAGTAGTTACCATTGCTACGGTGCAGCCACAAGTGGCACGCGGTGACGTCAGAGTGTAAATAATATATTATATTAGGAGATAATAATATTATAGGTATACATATTGCATACACACGCGCATGGCGCGTCTTGCAAAATTGTCGATTAGATAAATGAAAATAAATTTCAATCACGCAATACTCGACAAAAATCTTCGTAATTTAATAATCATAGGTACACATTTTGTGAAGTTAATAAACTACGCGGTGAGTTATGAGGTTAGTCATTGGATATTTTAATACATAGGTAATAAATATTATAAATATGTATAATATGTACAAAATTCAGACAATTTTTTTTTCAAAAATTCAGTTACCTAACGATGTTGCACGCGTACAATAAAATCCTTAAATATTTGTTCTGACCGAAAAAATCACGTTTAGACACTCGACGATAATGACTGAAACGTGTGATAAGAAAATTCGAATTGTTACTGTTCATTTCACTTTCTCCAGTCGGCAACGATGGCTCTGTTAAAATAGTATGCACATAAACAAAATTAGATCGAATAAATACCATCGAAAGTCGGCGAAATTTACACTAAATTTGTTAATTATTTGTTTCGTTCTTTTCGCGGTTTATATTTTGTTTGTATAAAATTGTGTATTTAGGTTAGATAGGTATTAGGTTAGGTACATACAATCAATTATTTCCTTCCTACCGTCACACGCCGTATAACGATATAGTGTGTCCCATGATAAAATTATATTGTTCCTCGTCCCGTCATCGATTACTTTTTTATTGCTTTTGTTTTGTTAAATTTTATTTTTGTTTTCATTTAATTTATATTATTATTACTGCATAAGACGTCGGGTGATTAAAGTTAAAAAAAAATAACTAATACGATTTTATATTAGAAATCAACCAACTCTTAAGTCTGCAGACTAAAAAAATCGTGTTATTATTTCATTTCCGTCGATTATCATTATGTATATATATATTCTGTATTCCATCATATTGTATAAATAATATAATATGTACTATGCACAGTGTACAAGGCACAAGGTTCCAAGCAATTTTTCGTTTCAAACATAAAACTACTATAATATTATGACGTGACGATGCGTATACCAAACCAAACCATGTCACTGGTATCATGTATGACTATTGTATTATGGTCTATGACATAATACAGCCTATACCATGTATAGACTTCACGATGGCAGTACATCCGCTCAACGAGAACAAAATATAACATGACTTTTACATATTTTTCCAGAACTTTGAATACCAATATAATACATAACGTAAACAGATTGGCCATCTGCAAATATTTATAAATACGAGGCAGGATAAATAATACACCTATTATCAGTAAACGCACACGTGGCTCAATTATAATGAGTGCATAATATTAAAGTCGTAAAAAAAGTTATGATTGACAGGGCACACATTGTATAATACTCTAAATACACCGAAAAAATATTATAATAATATACGAAATGGGTGTTGTATATTATACGGGTCACAGGCCAGCCGTCCGTCCAAATGTGCATATTATTCGGTTTTATTAACGGGTGCATACCGTTCATACAGTTGGAATATTTTATTTATGTATGCGACAAAAACGATACTCGTTGACAAGTGTTTAGTCGCAGACGACGATCGGAGCGATTTGTGATATTATGTAAAATTCGGCGGTGAAAGATAGGTACACGCAGATAGAGTTCGAAAGAGGGACGAGGAAGAATTAATAGAGAAGCGGGGTATCAAGATTTGAAATATAATAATATATTATATATTCCGAATACGACGTCGAGATTTTCATTTGTGATGATCGGGCAACTTTTCACTCTTCACTCATACACACTTTTGGGGATTTCGTATATAATTAATATTATTAAAATTTGACATATTTAAAAAAAAAATGTATACTCTTCCGTTAGCAATAATTATTCATAAGTGCTATAATATTATTATTATACGTACGACATACCTATCATAATATAACAATATAACGTAATAAATAGTCAATCGATTAATATTTAAATCCTATAATATAGTATAGGCATTTATATTCTGTTACCTCGTGCGTAAAAATCACGAGAGTAAATAAAATAAATAATCAAATTTTAGCGGCTTGCTTGCTATACACGCATGCACGTCACACTTATCTACATATGTATAGCCATATAGGTATAAATTGCCTATACTATACCATGTTTATATAGTATTTATAGGTCACAGTTAAAGACTGTTGCGGTGCGTGTGCTGTGAGAGTATATAGGAAACTTCCCACCATAGTCTGCCATTTTTTGCAATACATTTCCCTGCATAAGACATTTACCCGTCCAATACACTAAATTGAATCGAATACAATGTTTTTTACATCAATACATTTGTTTTATATTTTTTGTTACATTAATGCTTTCTGTAAGGCGTTGTCAGTGAAAAAAACTAAATAATACGCCGATAACCGCTTACATATAACCGACTGCACTTTCACATGGTCAATTAATGGTACAGATTTATATATTGTATAATACCAATAGTTATATTATAATTATTATAAAAAAAAAAAATTATAAAAATTAATTAATTAATAATAAAATATAATGATACATACCTTGTTGTATTAATCCATAATCGTACTGCGACATAGGCGGCGGGTGATAATAATCGTCTAAAGCATCGACGGCTGACATGTCAAACTGTCACTTGTCAATTCGCTTTTGATGTTCAAGTATAACAATTTTGGTTCATGCTGTCAGAACATTATTTTCGTTTACATATTATCACGTTTGTGCTTGCGTGATTGTATTGCTCCTTTGTCATAACAAGTTATTTTATCTGATTATTTTTATTTTAAATACTGGTTGAGAGATTTTAAATAATATGTCTGTATATGGATTACGTGAAAAGTTCTAAAGGAAAAGCCATACAAGGCGAAAAATATTCTTGAAAAACAAATGCTTTGTCGAAAGCGTGTTTAGTTTCGGGAATAATAATTTGAGTATCTCCATCATAATAACATGTTACTTGTCTAAGACGTAAAAAACTTAGAACACGTGCATCTTACCTACAAAAATCGGGCCACGTTTGAGAATAAAACATGCATTTTAAAAGTTTATATGCATTGTGATCGATCGACGCATGTGTACTCGGTGATTCAAACTTTAACCATCAATGTAGGTACATATATTGTACACATTAAACATTTAAACATATTATTATTTAATATATATAATCAAGCCACAAGTCGCAAAATAATTAAAATTACGGATTGTGACAACTATTATATAAACCATCATAACCGGTGAGGCACAAAATCACAAGATACGATAGCGATACATAATATTACAATATTCAAGATCACAAATCATAAACAAGCGCGTAATATAAATACACACACCACTATATAAGACATCGATGTCACACACTATTAAAATAATAACGTAAGAACGATAAATCAACAATATTTTGTTTAATAACGATAAGCATGTTTTGTTTTTGCACCTATGATCCCCCCCCCCCGGTTTTTATTTCTGTTTTCATGCCCGACTATAATACCTACTTATATAATATAAATAACAGGCTACAGCTATATTGCAACACGTGCGTCGTATATTATAAATTATAATAATATAATTAACCCCGGAAAGGCGCCACCCTCCTATACACCCCTTTCCGGCACTAGACGAGCTGTGACAGCTCCAGAACTCCTTCCAGAAAACCTGTGCACATATTATTATTACCTTTAAGCAATAAACGTATAATATATCGAGTGTCATTTACAAGCGTCCTTGCTGTGATGGTTTTTCGAGTATTATTATTGTACGCCGGTTATGAATTATTTCCACCATATAATAATAATATAGTGAATATTAAAATAATATTATATAATACCTAATTAAATCTATAAACTATAAATAAAGTCTTACCGCTTTTTATTTTTTCAGATTTTGCTAGCGCTTGCGTCGGTAGCGTTGGCCGTCTCCGTGGTTAGTGCGACATTGACGCCCAAAGCGCCGAACTTTCAATACTTCGAAAGGTGCGTATATACTTACAACTTATAGTTCTATATTATATAACTGCAACTGCACTACATACTGCACCTGCGGACAACACGCAATAGTGAAAATAGTATTTTAACAGCACGCCGCGAATTTATGAACCTACCTACACGACGCTAGTTGTCGTCGTCTCCGCAGTTCGCCTCATAAAAACCTCCATATATTGATATGTTTTTGCATTTTTTTTACTTTTGACTTTTTGGTGCACCTAGTAGTAAAAAAATCCCAAAATTGTGTGTTTGAGAAGTTCCGTTGGTAGGCGGATGATAGTCGTACGGCCTCTCGACACCACGAAAGAAAGGGGGAGAGGGTGAAAATCTCTACAAATATGTGCACAATATATGCACTTTGCATGCTGCAAGTTTCTGAAACTGCAGAACGTAAATAATATACACCTAATACCTACATTATATTATAACGAATTATAATACAAAATATATAATCGTATAATTATAATGACATTGTGCTCGTTTGTGATTTTCCAGACCCAAGTACAGATATCCGTATTACGACGAACATGGCCGAGGACGGCTTTTGTACGGATATGGTGGACAGGACCTGTACCAATACAAGTCCTATTCGCCCTTGGAAGGCATTCACTGACAACCGCAGTAAATAAACTTACCAACACGCCGTCACCGTTCTCCCAGCCGTCACCGTGGCACCGTGATGGCGGTCTTTTCGTTTCACCCGCCGTTCAGACGTGTCCCAGTAGTGGTGTTTTCGGTGTTTTAACAATAAGTGTGTAATTTTTTTTAATACACAGTATCATTAGATAATGATAGTGTTTTTTTAAAGTTAATTTTAAAAAAAACCCCTTTAAATTTAATTTAATAATAATTATAAAGGTTTATATAAAATTAGAATATTGTAAAACTAAGAGAAATCCTCTGACGAGGCTCGCTGGTGGTTCGAATGTTACCAAAAACTGGCAGCAGACGCGTTTGCATTCTTTTACGAATTTAATATAAATATGTTTTTTTTTTTTTAATCGACGGAAAGCTGTAAAAAAAAAAAAACGTCTACGTCGATTCTAGAAATTCGTTAACGAATAGCCCAATAGAAAAAATAACGGTCTGCTGTCCGGTTGTATCTTAATAAGTAGAATCGTATATTATGTTAAATTTTAAGCAAAATAAACGACGTTCATCGTAAATGATCGGTTTTTTAAAAAAAATCTATTTTATAATATTATACTCTCCTTGTGTATTCTAATAAAATATATAAATACCTATGTATATGAATAATTTTAAAACTTAAATATATTATCTCTTAACGCGTACTTATAATGTTATATACACAGCGTGTATATATGTCGGTAATATTATAATATCGATCAATTAGCTTAAGAGGTATTGTAAGAGGTCATTTTTAAAACCTATATACCTATACTATATTAGCCGTAAATAAAATATGTATAATTCACCGAAAGACGTCTAAACGGCTTTGAAATCAAAAACACCGCCAAAACGCAACCCAAACACATAAGTCATAACTACACATACACACGACACACATTACTATAATCATTGCCCTGAACATGATCACAAAAATAATAAGGAATATATGTAATATTATAATATGTATAATATCTATGAGGTAAAATGTCAATTGTTAATTCTATTAATATAAAAAAAATTGTTTTTTTTATTTTTCTGTTTTCTCGAAATAAGTTTAAATGATTAAACGTTGTTATAATCCATCAATTTATTCAATGAATAGTTGCATTGCGTGTTATTGTAATTATTTTAAGAAAAAAAAAGTTTGTGTAAAAATATATAAATATAATATACAATTTGTTGCAGTTTACAAAAAATAAAATTCGACGTTTTCATTTCAATTTAATATTGAATAATTTGGTACTACCTACTTACAGGAATAATACCAACATATATCATACTAATAAAATACAATAGCAAAATAAAATTATGATAGTAAACCAAGAAAAAATTAAGAAATCGTAAAACTCAAGTGAAAATATTTACCATGGAAGTGTTATTTCAGTTATTATAAAATGTATATCCAATAATACAAATTCTCATCTTCATAAAAATTGTTGACCTTAAATATGTGCAATGTTGAATTATCTAGCTAATGCCTAGAGTACACGTTATTCAGAGTGCTATGGATAAAGTATGAAGTAAAAAAATCCAAATCATATTAATCCAAAAAAATATATATAATAAGTTTTATTAAATTATTATTCTAAATATGAAAAAAATTGAAAAATTAAACAGGTAAGTATACTTTTTTATTGGAAAAGTCCAAATTTAGGGAGGAATTGGAATCGCAAAGTATTATACCTCCAGATTAACATTTACTTTTATTTGATAAACATTTACTTTTACATAAGCATTTTTTAAAATCTTGACTATCAGAAAAAGATTGTGCATTAGCTATTTCACATTTTCCCGCTAAGATGTTTTTATAGCAAACACTTCTAAAATATCTATTAATGGTTTAGAACATAGAGAAAATTGATTTCTCGAATAAAATTTAATTGGTATTTTCCGCCATGTCCAATACTCAAATGTATATCATATAGCATGTTATATATATTTTCGTTTATACTGCAATATAAAATATTTGTACTACCTTCTGACATTAGAAATTTAGAAATATTAATTTGTGTTCTCCACCAATATTAATAACTAAATAATAAGTTATAACGTATTATCTCTTTGAAAATTGTATAACTTATTGTTTTTTCCCGGTTAATTTCACTTTTTAATTTCAAATAATACGTCATAAGTCATAACATTTTGATTTCATTAAATACACAGAATGCTCATTCTTTTCATTAATTAATTTATTGAAAAACCCATAAAATGTCTCTTTTGAGAACATATTTTAATATTCCGAACAAATGAACAAAAAAACCGATAGCACCGTAGGTATACTGAAGTTTAAAATTAAGCAACATAGTGCACATGTTTTATCATAATGTAGTATACTTAAACATTATATTTTACATTTTATCATATTTTATTATTTTATTACAGAAATATATCATATTTTATCGTATTTTATTTGATCAACACGTGTACAAATTACCCGGTTGATGTACAAAATAAACGTTTTACAGATATTTTGACTTAATCCAATAGGCATGGGTGTGTTCTGGTGTTCACATTACCCGTTTTTCATACTCTACCAGTAACATATACTACATAATATTCGCAATTCTTTAAACTATATTTATTAATAATAATAATAATATAAATGATAATATTCGTGGCTTTTGGTATAGAAGTCATAAAGCCCAAAGCAAAGTTCAAATCTTACTAACATTCACAGTACAATATAAATCACTGTATTGGCGTAGACCCAAAAGTTCGAATAGAAAACAACAATATACTAAATGTAATGGAGGGTATATACTCGTAGTTCAAACTGTTGAGAATATTCGGAATTTAATTCTTTTACTCGTTCCGGATGGTATAATACACTTAAAAAAACTGTTGAATGAAAAAGCACAACAATGCAGTCTTATAGCATGTATATAATATAAGCAGTGTGATTGTTTATTTTTTTATAATAATTGCTGTAAGTTTAATCTCATAATACCAATTTAAATCAAAGTTAAATTAACGCCGTATGTACTGCAGTAAACATTGTTCTACACACACACAATATATACATAGTATTTACCTGTATATTTACCTACTGTGTGTCGGTGTATTTACATTTGTATGTTTTTTTCTTTGTATGCATATTAGGTATTTAAGTAAATTGGATATACAGAGAATGTATGTATTATATTACACTATTGACAGCAGAAATAAATACTTCTAAAATACTTCCGTTCTAAAAAAAAATTTTCTGTTTCAAGATTTGAAAGAAGTCAGTAATATTTTCGTCTAACATAGACTATACCTATTATGACTCAAATATTACACCTGAAAACTCAAGAGAAACCAGGAAAACTCCACGACTCACCCTATATTATATACAGCTAGTACTACACAGTGGATAGAATAAAAGTTTCGAGGATGGTATCTATATTGTTCCGTTAAATTTTAAGGTGATGAAATACATTTAACTAATAATTAATACTATACTTATATGATAATAGTATTTAATTTAAAGAAAATTACTTGTAATAGAGTGTTCATGGAAAGTTATGTAGAACGAAGTCGTTGTTTTTATATTACTAATGTTACTATGACTGTGCATCGATGTAATACAAATTAATTATATGGTATTATTTAAGAATATTACTTTGGAAAAAATGTAATGGTGAGTAGTAACTAGTAAGTAAAATTATGTATCGCCGAAAAGATTTTTTTTACAATTAACTGCAATGTGTATAGGTACATTTTTAATGGCATGTCTTAAAATTCTGAAATAATCACCAAGTGCATGCACAAAACATAAAGTGTTTTATGGTAATATAATATAACCTCAATTATATTACCACTACACATACGCAAAAGATGATATAGTGATTTACTGATTTTGATAGCAGGAGATTGGTAGCTCTCCAGTATAAGCCGAGTAGTGAGTACAGCGAATCGTGTTGTACTCGTGAGGCCTGGCATTTTTATTGATACAAATTTTGACATTTTCACTGGTTTAAGAAAAATAATGACAGTTAACTCGATTTATATTATCGAGTACCGACTCACCCCCTTATTTTATATAGAAACAATTACATAGAATTTAAACTTGATCAATGAAAAAGAAACGTAAAGCCTGAGGTAGTACCTTTTTTATTCTGATATACGAATACTGAATAGAGTATAATAATATTTCACTATTGGCTATTACCACAGTTTCTTACACCGATTTTTATACAAAACATATTCCTAGTATATTTTTACCAATAGATTTACTCATTGTAATTTTAGGGGCCATAAAATAATGTGTAGCTCGTAATGTACCCTTACCAGAAGAAAAACAATATTTGACGAAGGCAGATTACAGGAAATGTTGTTACTCTTCCTTATCTTGACTACTGCATAATTCTATGACCACCTGCATGACACAATGTTAGGATCAACTAACATTTTTCTTTACTAATTGTCTCATTAAATTAGTGAAAATTCCATCCAAATGTCCACAATGTTAAGGCAATAATGGTCCAGTATTTTTTTCTCTTTTTGTTTTTTTTTTTTTGGTTTTAAATAGTTTGAATCAAAATGTTTTTTTTATGTGTTTGATAAAATTTTGGGTGGGTTTGTGGGTGTAAACTAGAATCTTTGCTCCTCGAGTTAAAATAGCTTCCCTCGCTACTGCGGCCGCAACGGTTTTCCTACCCGCTGTGGGTGTTTTCATAGTGAAACTGAGTGTAATCAATTTTTTTTATTATTAATATATTTGACAGTCTTGTGGGCTACGGCGTGGGGTGTGGTTATGGAGGGGGGCAGTGGCTGGTGTTGTACACTCCGTCCAATATAATATATTATTTGAACCTCGATTGCGCACAGAGTCACCACTTTTATATAACTACATTGTGTGCGTGTCGTGTATATTATATTGTCACATCATAAACGTCGAGAAAATTTAATACCGAAAACGCGTAAACAGTCTAAGCCGCACTACCGACCAATCGATAATATTCGTCTAATAATAATTTATATTTCGACGTCTCAGCGTTTGAGCTGTATATACGCCGGTCATCGGAAACGTCTGTTTTTCCTCTCGGCGGATAATAATAATAATAGTATAATACAATATAATACGACCAGTGGCGTCGTTGCGACGAGTGGGTTGCAGCGCGGTGCCTTTATTATTTTTATTTTCCAACGCCCGCGTTATTTCTATATTATTGCTCGTTATGACATTATTATTATTGTGTATAAGAATCAGCGTACTACCTTATTATTATTTCCATCGTGGTTATGCGATCGAACTCCATGAAGTCAGAAGGATGTTGAGCGATGTTCTTCGAGGAGAACCGGAAGTGAAATAATAATCAAATTTTTGCCGTCTGTATCCGAGGCCGCGCTCAAGACTTCAAGGGTCGATGCCGTTGACTGATCTGAATGCACGGCAATACTCACTGGCCGCGTCGATATTCGCAGAATACTACAAGAATATAATACAAGTACTTCAATGATACGTATTTTACGACGATATGTTTTGTTGTATAATACATAGATCGTATTTGCATTGTTTGACAGGATTTTAATAGAACTACCAACTGTATGTTATTATTCTGAAAGAGAAATGCTGCAGACGTATTGATAATATTCAATGAAATAAAATGACTTTTCGTGCGTCTTAAATGGCTTGAACTAAAAATGTATTTTATTTTATTATATTATTTTGTGGTGGCTATCATTTTTTGTTTTTTCGTTTCAGGCCTGCTGCAGCCGACCCTTATACTCGTATTGTCAAACTCTTAGAAAACAGCCTCTGTTATACCTGTGGGAAATAAAAATATAATATATTTTATTATTTCAACAAACATCATAGAAACATATAGGTATACCTATTCTGTACACAGAACATTTTATCACCATACTTGTATAAAACAATTTTTTTCGTTTCAGATGAACAAGCCTTGATGGAACCGCAATGTAAATACTAAATTTAGTAAATGCAGTCACGTCACCCTTAATATAATGCTACAGCGCCATTCACCCTACATGCATAATATAATACAGTGTGTCAGTTCTCCAACAACTTACTGATAAGAGAAATAAAATGTTTATATTCATATGTCCAACACAAAAAAAAATTGAAATACTTTGTACACTTTCTATTTTTGTAACTACCTTTTGTACATATTATATTGATTTATACGCCATTGGTATAGTACATGCAATAGTACAATATACAGTGTAGTTATTATTGTTTTTAACAGTGAACATGTAAAATATTATTTATTTTATAAAGCACAGCCTTTAATAACTTTTTTTTTCTTTATTTGGAATATACAATCTGTAAATAGGAGCACAATAAGTATATAAGATGAGAGTAGGAATACATATCGTATTAAATATTAATTAAATAAACAAGTTACATCACAAGTTTAAAACAAATTTTAAAAAAACAATACAATATTTACATGAAACGCTTGATGTGAAAAGCCATCCATTAATGACACACACTGATGATTACTATTTTTTTAACCTTTAATAACTTAATATTAAATTATACAACTTTTATTTTTTTCCCATCTACCTATACATTTGTTTTGGAAATCACAATCGACTTTTAACATGTATATTTAATTGCATAATCTGAAACTGAATAATTCTCTAAATAATTTGATGTATGTATGTATAAAATATTATGTATACTTGTGAACAAATATAGTAGCAGTTATTTTTATTATACGTATACTCGTGCTAAACACGTTTACAGACGAATACAAGTACATGTATATATTTTCTAAATTTTATATAAATATAAACCGGATAACGCTTCATTACGTTATTGAAAAATATTACCAATGTCCAACATGTGGCGATAAATATATTAAATAAATACTAAATTAGTTATTTATTTATATTCTGCTTTTTAATTTTTATATCTTCACTCAAATGACTTTTATATGTATAAAGGCCCATCAAATCTTTATCGACCGCAACATCTAAAATTAATGGTTTTAATATGATCTTCACAGCAGGTGCGCCTGCTAATTATAATGTACCAACAATAATTCATCGATAAGAGCGCAGTAAATACTAAATTTATAGTAGTTTATAATAGGTACCTTAATTCGCAATAATAATATAAGATGTTTACCATTTACGCTCCAAGTATATTAGGTGTATTATATTATTTTATAAGTAGGTAACTGAAGAAAATCATTAGTATTTCTTCCTATTATTTGGGGAAAAATAATCACTCCTAAGTTCTACGTAATCTTCTTAAAGAACGGTACATTTTATTTAAAAAAAAAAACTATTTGAACTCAAGTATAATATAAGACATACCTACTGTCTATATAGGCGTATAATAGCGTACGATACACAGACATCAAGCAAGTGAATATTATATAGAAAAGATTATAATATAGTTATAAGGTCGATACGGTTATCTTCCTCCAATCGTTTCATCGCGAGCGCACGCGCGCGTGCGTGTGTGTGTGTGTGTGTGTGTATAATTATTAAATAAATTATTGGAATTATTCGCATCATATAGAGCCTATAATATAATCATGAGCCCACCTAATAACTGTCACGGCTGTAATAGCTATAGCAGCTGCCGACAGGGTAATTTAACAGTCGGATAAAGAATTTAAGATGTGCGTATATGTCAGCATCCCGTCAACGTAAATCGCCTTAAGTCGGTTATTACCACCCCCCCCCACGTTCTTCCCAGTCCCACCACAGTGCACTCAAACACGCATACACACGCACATACACACATTCGCACTCAAACACTACTGTATTGAGATACGAGTGCAGTACGCACTGCAGGTATGCGTCTTAAAATCAAATACAAATAAAATTATAATAATGTCGATGGTAAGATAATAATATTTAGGTGTAGTGTAGAATTGGTTGTTATGTGATATTGAATGGGCTTATAGTTTATCTACTCGTCGTCTTCAGACATGTAAAGCAAAATACGAAAATATATCGTCCCTCTTGTATTAGCATTGTAGGTTGAATAATGTGTTGGTAATAAATAATATAATATTATTATCTCAGATCCGTTATCGTGCATATGACCAATGTACCTATAAAAGATTGCTCCCTCACATGTTCCGTACTATAGGTACCTGGTACACAGGTAAAGCTGCTGGCTAACAGAAGTAATTGCTGTCGAGCTTATTGATTCCTTTCAAATCTTCTAATTGAATTTAAAATGTGAAGAAAAAAATAACATAATATATATATATTAAAATATTGTAGGTAAAAGGCAAAAAGTATAAATCATCCTGCAGCTCTTGCAGTATTGTTAAATTTGTTATTTGTACTGTGCAGAAATGCAGGTGGTATATTATTTTTATGACGCGCGACTACTGCAGTCGGTTATTATACTTATTGAATTATCTCATCATCAAAATAATATCCAGGGTTATAATCACATAATTACGCTTTGTGCCGTTTTGATGATATTGCTGGTTAACAATATAAAATCACGTTTAAAATAATTTCTGACCAGTTTTACGTATAGGTACCAATACATAATTGTATCATATACGGAATTTCATACCATTTTCTGGTGTGAAATCAATTTATGGATTAACTTTGACTTTTTAAATCTTAATGTATTATGTATTTATCATTTTGATTAGGTTTACTAATATATGTTATATATGCTGTGTTAGATTTTCCTAACCGTTACTATTTTTCTATTTTTCTTAGACCGTACAGGCGAAAAGTGTTAAAAATAAAAGAAAAATAATTTGAAAGTAAACTAAAAAAAAGTTGAAATCACGTCCGAGTGTCATACACTACGACATACTTACTTAGCGTAGGTACCACGTAATTCCTCATCAAACTGTTCAAGAAGAGCACGAGTAATATTTGTTCCGAATCGGCCTTTATTAAATCAATTTCCGTCTCAACTACTATAGACCTTTTCGTTTTCGCTATCAGTCAAGTTAAGTGACAACGTGCCATGCGTATTTTCTGCAGAACAACATTAATATAATATAGACATATATAATATATATAAGCATATGATATATTATCTAGGTACTTGAATACTATATTATCATACTAAAATAAATGATAATTAAATATATTAATATGTATATAGACTCTGAATAAGGTATAAAAGTAATAATAGAAATTATCAATTTTTACTATCCTTCAAATATTAAATTCAAATATTAAATTGAGTCAATATTGTGAAGCTAAATACTTGAACGATATGTGTAATTATTTTAAAATTTAAAATTTAAAAAATGGCTAAAACAGAAAGCTGTTAAAAGTCCCTAAAATCGAATTGTTATCTAACAAAAATAATACATTTAATATTATATTAAGTAACGAAAAATTGTCATGTTCGTCAAATAGTATTCAATAATTCCAACAGAATTTAAAAATTGTATAATCACTCATTACCTGTATAAATTATATTTTAATGTTTCAGTTTGAATATTCAACTGAACTGGACAATCTCATAATTTAAATTGGTTTTCATATTATCTTGGCTTGCTTGAAACGAGAGTAACATTTAAACTATCTTAAACTAAAAAAAAAACATTTATTCATATAAAACATAATATTTATTTATATTTAATCAAGTAACTTAACCTAACCACGAATGGCACAAATAACGCTGATTACCTTAAAATAATTATTCACAAAGATATTATTAAATACCAATCACACTAATAATTATACTTTTAAAATGAATACAAATACCTACAACTGAATGTTAAATAATTACATCATACAAATTATATATGTATATTTATAATAGATACATTCGAGTTGTATACGTAACACAATTGAATAGTAAAAATATTATAGTACAAAATAATATATAGTATACACCTAATTAATACTTATCGTTATCTCGCATTTAATTTATAACGAGAGTTTTTAATATAATAATATATTATCATCTATATAATTAATAGGTACCTATAATATGTCCGTATAATAATTGTTCATCAATATTATCGAGTATTTACAAAAATTAGCTCTCGCCAATAAAATAACATATATTATACCTATAGGTATCAACAGAAATACATGTTTATACAATTTTATATATAATAATCACTACATAATCAATCGTCTATACGTTGGTTTTGGGCAATCGATCTTCATCAAAATCATAGGTATAGTGCTGTTAGTTTTAACATCGAAAAGGTATGTGCACAATGACGGTGCACTTAAAACAATATTCACTTTAACTTATAGGAGTAAAATTTGTTTTTACCCTTGGCTTTGTTGAAATCATTGTTTTTCACGTAGAGCTTCGGAAGGATTCACGACTACTAAAGATTTTCTGGAAGCTTCGCCTGCGATCTGTAACAGTAAAAAATACGTTTTTTAATAACATTTCAAGTTCTTGACATATAACGCAGTGTCGTCTTATAAATATATATTGTGTACTAGTATGTTCGTGAAATCATGTAAACAAGTTTTATTACAACTCATTTTTATCATTATTTCATATCTTCACACATACCTACGTATAATGTATATATTGTAAGTGTTTAAAAAGTTTCTTTTTTACATAGATACATCGTCATTGTATTATGCGAACATGATGTACTTAAAGTATTTGCAGGTGTTGCTACCGAAAAACGTAGAATGATAAAACAAAAGAAAAGATAAAAATGAACTTTATTGCAATAATAAATAATAACGCGATTCGTGACAAACAACAACTTCAACTCGCCGTATGTTACAGTAATTGCACCTGTTGCAAGACGTCCGTTAAAACCTCATTCGATGAGTTTTTTCCTTGTTCGTTTTAGTTATTCCACCTGCAGTTATTTTCTTAAGGTAGTAGATATTTAAAATTTTGTATATTTCTACTCTGTCCACTTAAACTGTATACAGGTACAAAAATAATATTAAGCAGTTGCCGTGGACCGTGGTACATGAGGTATACCTAATAATAAAATATTTATAATTATTTACATACATGAACTCTATGGTGGACATACTATGGGTAAGCATACCTGCACCATACGTTTTATGCATCAGCATAATAAGCAACTAAATCAATATTTTATTTCGTTGTTGGTTGTGTACAATATAATTTTTATGAACATGATTTAATCGCGGGAAAATAGGCAATGCATACGGCGTATATGATTATAGACATTAATTTCACTACAGTGTATAAATAATGGAAAAGTCCTTGGATAATCACAATAATAGAGAAAAAATCGAAGGAAAACCTGGAAGAAGACGGCCTAGAACTCCACTTCTGAAGCAAGTGATGGTAGATATACGGGAATAGGAACATACTGGGAGTTGAAGAGGATTATAAGTGACAGATATAAGTAGAGACTGGAGAGAGACACATCAATAATCATTTAACCAATCTTTGAATGGAAAAAAAAGTAAACATAATAATATACGTACATATTATATTTTTATCGGATATATGTATAGGTAGATACAAATTAAAATGCATCCATCCTATATATCTGTTTATCATGATTTCACTTGGTATACGATAATTCATATCAATCGATTATTGAGTTTTATCCGCATTAACTATTACTATTCTGATTGCTGCAGCATACGTATATTAGACCATATGCTATGATAAAATTATGATGGTCTACGACATACTAATAATGTCAATGACTCGTAAATTAAAATTGTAAATCGTATACGGCTCGAAATGTTTTTGTGTTTACTCACAATATGGCATTCTAGATATGGTACTATTGCATCAACGATAAATCAATATCGTTAAAAAAAAAATATAAATCACCGTATGTTACCAACTACAATTGAACGACATTTTGAATAAGATTGTTAATATTAAACTATTTGAATAATTAACTCGGTGGCGTATTATCGTCGGGTTAAACAACATACGTACATATAGTGGGTTGATAATATACTGAGTGATTCTTTCATCAGTAAACCATTATCTCGAAAATTATATACGTTTTTGAAAATATTATTTTGTATTGTATAATTTTAATTTATTGCAAAACAATATTTTTGAAAATAGTCTTAGTTTTGTTTGTTATCGTTATCATATTTTAAGTTTTTATTTTTTTAGAAGATAATATTTAGATAATATTTTTAATTTGAAATTTCAAAGGTAAATAAATATAACTAATATAAATAATATATAGGTAATACAAATATACAATATTATAATTTTATAAAATATCAAACCATAATTATTTTTATTCCAAAGTTTTAACTTTTAAGTACAATAGTATATTTGATGCGCTCTATTCGGTTTGTTAAAACTTTTCAGTAATAATACAGGTAAATTACCTGAGGTAATTGACATTATTTTATAGATACAAATTTAAACGAGTATCTATAGGTAATAAAGTAAAAATGTAGATTGTCGATAAAAAAATCGAATAATCATTAGAAATTAGTTTAATTTATTACAGTCACAAAAATTGAGCTAGATGATGATGATGATGATGATGATGAAGAGTGCTGAGTGAGTATTCTCTATATTCACTACTGTTAAAAGAATAATTCAGTATAAAAGTAAAGTTTTATGTGAACGAAAAAATCTCGATCGTCGAGTATTCGGCGTTGGTATAGGTTATATATTACATAGTCATCAGATGTATAACTCAACAGTAAACATGTCTCGCTGTAAGTACTATTGTGTATTATAATGAATTATATTATATTTGTATTGCATCATATGAACCCACCTATCACCTACCCACAAACCTACTCATCATATTATATATATACAAAATACATGTCGTGTAGATATAATCGTTATCGATACAGATTTACAATTACCTAATAACGTGCATACAATAACGATGATTATGGTGATACACGATGGTATGAGTATCAATAATATTAGCTCACCGCGATGTCAATAGGCAATCGGTTTACCGCCGTCGCCTCGCCAATCTTGTACGAACCCCGTCCCAGGCTGTCAATCAGGTCCCGTCCGCGGGGCCCGTGTTTTTTCTCGAAAGACTCCCGGAATTTGGCCCCATCGCTGGGCTTGAATGCTATGTGACGCATGACCGGGTTTACGGCCGGTTGTCCGTAAGCCCTGGCCATGAGGAAACCGAACGGCGTGAGCCCTTCGGCCGGAGCCGCTTTTGTACAGCTCTGCGACATCATCAACACAGCGACCGCCGTCTGCACCAATGTCTAGGGTGATAAAAATATGTTATATTATCCTATAGGCTTTAAGGACACTGCGCACACTCGCAATATATATTCGGACCAAGTATGACGAATAATGTAAGCAGAATGTGCTTAGACGAACATTTAACGTGTTTTCGGAAACTTTAGTGGTAAAAACTAAAAGGAAACAAAGCACGCTCAAATCTTTCTCAAATCATATTATTATGTCATATATCATACATTTAATCAATTTTGTTTGGTGGATTAGCATTTTTACGTATCATGTTACTAAAGGCTTAGAATTTTTAAAAAGTGCAGTTATGCTGGATGAAACGACCTCGTAAAATATTTAAGAATTTAGATCCGCCTTAGTAAAAAAGTTGTCTCAAAATATTAGGTAGGTAAGAATAAAAAAATTAATGTTAAAAACATTCCGGCTCCTTTCCATCCTTCTGTTTGGAATGTTCATTTAACCACTTTAAATGATAATGAACGGACAAACAATCAAACAGAAGGATGGAACCATCGTTTTCTTAACTTGTTAATCAAACACATCCATCCATATTTTATTTTATTGAAAAAATGCGTTTAGAAGTCGTGTTTGACAAAATACATTTATTACAAAGAGAATTAGGACAACCACCATAAAAAAACTTATGAAAATATTCAAAATAAATTTAATATATTAACTGCTGAATATAATAACGGAGATAGAACCATAAATAACTTTTTACATGCAATAGGCAATGTGATAAAACATTTAAAATAGCCATAATATACTATGTTTTTATTTTTATTTTATTAGTTTTCAATATTAGTACATTTTTAAAAATATATTAGGATATTAATAATTATTAACATACGTCTATTATTTTATAAAAGTTGCTAAATTATTATTATATTATTGTGACAATATTATTTTATATAACTATATTCAATTTTTTTTAATTTACTCAATGTAATGTAAAATATAATTGTATGCATTTTTCCAATGTACCTATAAATATATTCATAATTATTTTTTTTCAAATATTTATTTCTGATTGGCATTATTTTTACGAACATTTTTTATTTCGGGTATTATTACCACGGGTATTTTGTCTATCGGGTATTTTTCACAGGACATTTTTTCGTGGGTATTCCTTCCTTGGGTAATTTTTCCTATATTCTTAAAAAGTATCAAATATATATAACCACACCTTTTTTATAAGCCTTTGAGGTACAAATCTCTACGAAATTCATTAAAATCACAGAAATGTGTAAGTTATATTTTTCTTGATATTTGTACAATAGATTTCTCATAAGTTGTTGTTATAGAAACAACAAAATCTAAAAAATGTAATAGTATATTTTTGAAACCTTATATAGTATAAAAAATTAAAAAACTGGAATCTACATAGCTCTATACAGTAAAATGACTTTTTAAAATTGAAATGCACAATTTTATACAAATACAACATGAAATAGGTATTTCCATTGAATTAAGTAACTACAACAAATTTGTAAAAAATAATAAGTCTACAAAATCCAAATTAAAAATCTCGTATTATTACTATTAAAAAAAAAACAACATCCTTATAAAAACTTCAAATCTTCATAATTTAACTAATAATTCTAGTAGATATTTAATAAAAATAAATTTAAAAATAAAATAAAAATATATTTTAATAAATTGAATACAATTTTTTTAAATAATTTAACATTTTATTTTTTTGCTAATAATTTAATTTATTTAGAAAAATCAAAAAATATACAACAATAACACGAAATACAATAATATGAAACTTTAAAAATTCTTTTAATAGCAAATAATTAATCAAACTATATTTAAATTAATTTACTAGGTTCGTATAACTAATACAATCCATAGTTAAATATCAACTAAAGAAACGATGAAAGTTAAATGAAAATATATGTAACATTACATAAAAAGTAGCACGCTACTCGATATTTTTTCTCTGCAAGGAAAATCTATGAATCATAAATATGTTTTTGTTAATAATTAACCTGGCAACGAAAACCTTAACAAAACAAAAAACGTGTATCCTGCCCAAAATGCATATTTATGTATGAACTCTATTACCATTTGCAGTACATGCCAAACGGAAAACGTATGCAATGAGAGACAGTTGTTTTATTTTTAGGTAAAAAATAATTATCAGTAATATAAGTTATTATAAATATCCAGCTCACCGATAGTATACTTGTGATCTGCATGGTTCTTGATGCGGACGGAAGATCGCACTGGACCAGTGTGCAGGAATCGTAAAAAGTATATTTCCCACACCTTCCGGTTCCCGTGATTTTTGCTATACTAATATAATAAACATAATATTAAACTTCAGTGAAAGTGGTTTAAATTTCTCTCTCAGTATTTTCTTTTCTTCCTTGTGATATCATCAACATCGTACACGTTAACGGTATTATAAATCGTTTACGCAACCATGTTTAGAGTAGTATACTTTTAAAGCAAGCGATTAATGATTACAGTAATAACCGTCTCGCACGTATCATAATGCGCAACATAAAACACACAATACAAAATATATAATGTATATAGGTATATAACAGGCATCGTTATAATTTTTAATAATAATATTATTCGTCGCATGTGCACCACAATAAACTATGACGTGGAACGTGATCAACGAAAAACACATAATATAATAATAACGCTGTACAATAATATAATATCAAACCTACAATCAGTGATTTATTTTTATTTTTACAACTCATCCTCTCTGCCTTATACAGCGATCGTAGGCGTTTAAAAACGAGACGTATTTTCTATAGACGGCTAACTTCGCACATCTTGGAATACTTACGCAATAAACTATATTACGTATAAATAACTTATTGTTAAATACGTATCATGTATGCGGTGGTTTTGTCCTAATAATTACCAAAATATTCCCTTATCTAAATTCTCTAAAAAAAAAAAACAATAATAAATTCTAATCTATATAATTTTAAATTAAACGATTATATTGTATATATTATACATCAAACTAATTAAATTATTGATTAAAAAGAAGGATAATATGGTATACTGGTATTTCACTATTTCAGTATATTTTGAATTTCTCCCCATCTAAAAACCAAACAAAATTTTTCGGCTTAAGCAGTCTTTACGGCCTGCTAAATGCTGATATTCATAAATCTTGAACAATTATGTTGCGATTCTCGATTCATTGAGTGTAAGACGTCTTGAAAGTTACAAAATTCTAGTTATACTTTAAAATTGCAAAATTACAAAATATTCAAAAATGATCAACATTTTATTTTGAATACAAAATCGTTAAGTTATGAAGTTATGAAGAAAATTATTGAATTTTTTGACCAATCAATAAACGTATTAAAATGCATACGAATATCGGCCCTAGTAATAAATACTTATCAACTATGATAATAATTAATATTATACCATACTATAGTTCCGATGATGAATTTATAATTCCGAGGTCGGCGTTTTGGATATGCAATTTCGGTACACCAGCGGGTCGATTGGGGGTTGTTTTGCGCATTGGCGATGACAGGGCCACCTGTAATACCTATACAACAACTAAACTCGTGTTTCCGTTAAATTCGAAAGTTTATTGGCAATGATTTTCATTGTTCGAAATTCACCGTGACGTCCTTGAAACTGTTTAAATGGTTCGTAGAAACGATCACCTTATTCAAAATTATTCAAAAGAATTAATAGTTGTTAGTAGCAGGTAGGTACCTATTAATTTTCGTACTGCTATATTTTATTATTCATCATTTATTTATATAAAAAATCTTTGGTTACGTCTCACCTATATACTATGCGCTATAATCACACACAGTTTTTGTAAATGTATTATACTAAAATGTATGAATATGATCAAAATCTATATTTTTGTAATATTACATAAAATATTTTATTATAATTAATAACTACACTATAGTAGATAAAACAATTTCAGATAGAAAATGAAAGTAGGCAGTGGGTACGTATGAATAATTTAAAACATGACAAAAAAAGATATTCCACTTTTTTGTACGCAAATTCAAAACATAAGAATGTTACGTCACGAAAATAAAACGAAATTAAAGAGTTTTAAACTAGATGCTGACTACCTGGTTTAATACAATATAGTGGGGGAAAATAGAAACTCCAAAATGCAATAATATTGATGATCCTATTATAGTTGATAGCGAATATCCCAGTATAGGTTTTTGGAACGTATATTAACTTTTAAGATTTTCTCCTATTATATTATTATGACTAAAACACTTAAAAAGCGTAACTTCCATGATACGCATTTAGGAATTTGGACACAAAACCGGAAAATTTATATAAATAAAAGATGGTTGTTGGATTTATACATAGTTTGAGTAACTTTTAATTACTGCAAATGACCAGTTTATCATTATTAATATACCTAGAATTTACGAATGACGACCTAGATCAAAACAAATTATACCTATCGACAGTTTGGTCCACCACCGTGATTTAACGTTTCCCTATCCTTCGTGATACCTATATATAGTCAAATGTCGAAATCCCGGCGGGCCACAGTATTTATAACCAAAATAATTGCTATTAGTTCTACTTAATGGCTAATTATAGACTATAGTTATTACGAGTGCGTATTAATCATTAGTGTACTACCAATTACCAACATATTATAATATCCTCTTACATAAGTTATGAGAATGGGTATTGAAATTAGGAAACACTTGACAAGAGTACAAGACTAGTGACAGTGTTCCATATTTTTGGCAATTGGCTGTCTTATAGGATCGACACTTTTATTAAATATTGAAAATTTACAAACAGAGTGTGAAAATAATAATTGTCCTGCTAATATTAATTATTGCAGGAAGTCAGTTATTTAATAAGCGAAAGGTTCAATGGCTGATAAAATCTTTGAGATGACTCTTTATTGCTAAAATGTAATAGACATATTTTCATCCAACATAATGTGAACTATGAAGACGCATAAAATTAGCTCCTTTCTCTTGTAAATTTAATTTCCCAAAAAAGTAATCAGATTTAATTAAGTACTTGCCTACCTATAAATTATAATACTCTGTCCAGCGAGAGAACACTCTGATTCTGCGCATCCCCACACGCCACCTTGCCATCGAAATCGGTTGCCCTATGCCAGGGTATAGAGTGGGGATGAGCAGAGCAGATATTCGTTAGTCCGCGGGGTGTCTCCCGCTGGACAGAGTTCATATATGGGTATAGTCTATCTATAGGTGCTACATTCTTAAATGTCATATTTTTATCACATAATAAAAACAAATCGTCATCTGTATTAAAATTAATTCATAAAATATTAAAGGTTCATATTAGTTATTATTTATTGACTATTCTAAATGACTGTATGCTTAATAGTTCAGTATACATGATTATCCTCATCAGTGCCTTCATTTTCCAAATTGAATTTTATGTACAGGTAGTGAGGTGTTATTTTTGGACAAATTACATTTATGATTTTCATTATTTTAAGCAACCTATATTGACTCTTTACATTCATGTAAGCGCGGTAGTTAAGTATACCATTGGTATTTTATAAAATAGCTAATACCAGGCCAATTTTAGAAGTACCTTTATGATATTATATTTATTTTTACATACATTTCCTATACGAGAAAATATTTATTACAAAGTACCCAACAATTTAATATTACAGGATATAATGCATTCATAAAAATGCAATGAAACGAAAAAGCAGGTAAGTGGGTAACGCTCTGAAGTACATTAGGTGTCTAGAGACTAGAGAGAAGGTGAGTCAGAGTCACAGTAATGGATATGTTGAATTTGAATTCAATAATCATTGTATACGAAAAACGATTCTGAGTGAAGACGGTCTGTCAACCTATGATATTACTAAGTGAATTGTATGGTATTATTATGATTTAAGTAATTGATTTTACTATTTGGCATGAATACCTACTACAGTAGTTTAAGTAAATTGTTGCCAATAAAAATATTTGAAAATGTCATTGTGTGTATATTATTGTATACAATATAATAATTTACTGTAAAAGTCTCAAGTACCCACAAATAATATTTTAAAATTATAACAAATTAACTAAAATCGTTATTCTTGCTTTTAACATGTAATTTCGTCAAAATTTGAACTTAAAATGTCCATAAAAATTACTGTTTAGATATTTTTTGGTTACAGTATGAACTATTTGTGAGAATCCTTGTTTTAAATTTTCCTAACAAAAAAAAATGGTGTTGAAGAAAATCGAGGCATTTTTACTGTCCCAAAAGGTAATATTACAGTCACAAAAAAACACACTCATCACTGTAAATTCATTAAATATGAAATAATCAATCAAACAGTACCTGCATTATTTCAAAAACTATAAAATCCATCGTCTGTAATTTTCAAAATACATTCCAAAACATTATGAGTTTTTCCTCGTCCTCGATCAATACGACAACATCTAAAATTGGCACTCAAGTCGTGTTTCCAACAAGTACCCTCTGTACTTGAATTAGTCTTCATTTTGATCATCCGTAATAAAAGATTACAGTGTACTTCTTTATATTATACAACTTACATGGATTTTTCCATCACATATGTTGAACATCAAACCATTTTTTCGTCGTTTTCTTCTGATTTCTGAACATACCAAACAATTTCCTGTGTTTAAATTATTATTATCAACTGTATAAATATCTTCCGTCAATTTATCGTAGTAACAATATCTAGGTAATTTTAGTACAATTTTTGTCGTCTGTAAAAGCATATACGTCGATCGTATTTTGAGTCGTTTATTGTAAATGTTACTTGATCAGTTGGGCCAATACAATAACGATCTACCAACTTCAGAAAATTTTGTTCACCATTTAAATCTTTTAAAATAACTGATAGTAGAAATGATTAAACCTTTCATTTTATAAACAAAAAAGTGATTCGTACCTCTCCATACCTTTATGATAAGCGCAGTTTTTAAATCTTAGACTGAGCGCACACTGGTAAAGTAAAATTGACTGAAGAAATGTAAGTCATATTTAGTCATTTTGCTTTAGTCATAATAAAGCATTGTTATCGCTCACTAGATAAAACATAGTCAAATAAAAATATATCAAGTAGTCGTCAAAATGTCGTCCGACGAGGAGGACGTTGCTATTCCTATTTTATGGTTTCTTTTAAGAGAAATTGAAAAGGAAGAAAATAAAAAAAAACTTTGGGTTCATCCTTTGAACTTGAAACGAACTGAAAATAATACAATTAAATATTTTATTCATGAACTTCGAAATGACGAATGTAAATTTAGAAATTTTAATACTTAACGATGAAATTCGTAAACCTGATACTAATTTCAGAAAAAGTATCACTCCAGAAGAGAAATTATTGGTGATATTGAGGTAAGTTAATAACAAATTCTAAATAATTAGATATTAGATTCTGAGCGGAGCATAGCGAAATAATGTATTGATTTTACAATGATGTGTTTAAAAAAAAAAAAAAATCCTTTATCTTATACAATGATTTATCAT